GCTTTTAGGTTGGAGGCCATTGCTTCCAGGTTGGAGGCCATTGCTTCTATGGTTGGAGGCCATGGCTTCTATTGGTTGGAGGCCATCGCTTCTAGGTTGGAGGCCATTGCTGCTAGTTTGGAGGCCATTGCTTCTATTGGTTGGAGGCCACTGCTTCTATTGGTTGGAGGCCATTGCTTCTATTGGTTGGAGGCCATGGCTTCTAGGTTGGTGGCCGTCGCTTCTAGGTTGGAGCGAGGTCTCTCGCACTGCTCTTCAGAAGTCTTAGAGGGGATCTATACTCTCCTTCTAGATGCCCAACCTCAAAATTTGTCCAGAACCCACCCGGTTTAGAGGGGGTCACGGTCAAATTCCTGTGTTCCATCTAGTTGCAGCCTTTTCTGCAGCTGACACTTGAGGTGAGTCCAATGCTTTGCCACCAACCATTGTTGGGTCCCTTCAGTTTCTGTTCAACTGATTACCAACTTACTGGGAAGACTGCTGATTCGCAGAGATACTAGTGCACAGGAGAAGAAGAACAATTTCTGTTTGTGCTTGCAGCCCTCCCGATTCTGTGAAACCCAACAGTTGGTTTGCGTGTATTCTTTGAATGTTCAACTTATTGTCCATGTGTCATGTGTTTTTGCAGCCTTGTAGGAGCGAAGGAACTATTGAATCATCATGTTTTCAGAAAGATGACTAGGGTATTCACGATGCTTAGGCGCAACTTCACTTTGATGTGAAACAACTGCGCTGAGATCCCCGTGAGAATGAGAGGTTAGAGGTTACGTACTTCAAGAGCTGCACCGAAAGTGTGCACTGGACTCGCCAACAGCACCGGGGTATACAGAGGCAAGAGCTGTCATGGGGGACTGCAGGGCCATTGCGGTCTGACCATTTGGACTATAGAAAGCTGAGCTCTTTTGAAAGCTAGATATGTGCCTCGTAAGACCTTCCAGAGAGAACATGGGAGAGGACCATGTGGTGGAGAGAATGGGGTTGGAACTGCCAAGTTTTGTTCTTACTAAAGTGTCTTCGCGATCCAAGTCAAATCAGTTTCCTTGTTGAAGTATAGGGCTTGCAAAAACATTTGAGTATTATATTTGAGATATTGAGATGTTCCGACATTTCCTGGTTGCTGTGCGAGTTCTGTCCATCCTTTGTTGAGCCTCCTTCATTGTGCTTGATTTGGTCATCTCAGGTAGTTGAGAGCACACTGGCGTGGAATGAACATGAACACAAGCTTCTTCGCAGTTTCTTTTTTGCAGTGGTAGTACCCACCAAGATGCTCCCAGCTTTAGAAAGTGAACGCATGACGTTGACACATATTCAGAACCACCGGGAACATACAACTCAAATCCTACATTTCATAGTCAACTGATACAGAATTAGGGAAAAGAGGAGCAAAATACAAAATGTTTGGCGGGTTGCTGTGGGTTTCCTCAAAATAAACCTATCCGTGAAACATTTCTTGTGCATTCTACTCCTGGTCACACTGCGAGACAGACCTATCTGTCACGGCCTCATGTTGAAGAAGGCTCAAAACATGTCAATCGTTTGGCAATCGTTGGGCCCTGGTGCCATTTTGCGCCATATTTTTTGGAGTCAGTATATATAGGAAGGACACTGTGAATCCCAGCCAGTTCGTATATCTGAACTGTTCGCAGATGTCTCCTTGTTTGATTCATTGCATGTTCTTTCTTTTCTGATCCATTTATCAAAGCTGAACAACTCGAAGCTGGCAAGGAGTTCAAGCAAATAGTGGGCCGGCAGGGAGGCATCAGCGGCATTGACATTTTGTGGTTTTGATTTTGAGCCAGGGCAAAAGACCTTGGCGGATCGTCACGGAGCGTCATCTCGAGGAAAATCGGGGTGGCCTTTTTGGATCGTTCATGGTCGCGTCGTGACATGTCATGTGTCGTGATCGTTTTGGGAAGCAAGACGATCGTGTGGGCCCTGTGCGGCTGCGTGGTCCAGAGCATGGAATTTGGATTCATCTCTTCAAGACGATCATTTCAACTGAGTTGGACACCCAGCTAGGAAGTTCTTATATGGTGGTCGCATGAAACTAGCAGCCACTTAGCGCGATGGCCATGTGTGAATTAGGCGTTTGCAGCCTTTAAGCTCGGCAGACTTCATTGCAAGCTGATCCTTGTGAGTGAAGGAGTGTGCACAGGATGCGGGACACGATTTTGTTGCTGCTGTGTGGACGGGCGCCTGCAGATGTTCCTGGACAAGACCAGTTGTGCGAACCGCTGGAGGTTGGGTTGCATTGCGTTGAAAACATTGCTTTGTGAATGTTCGCGCTTTGGAAAGACAACCACAGACGGAGATTCATTTTTCCTCCCCTATTTGGACTCCCACTGGGTGCTTTTCTGTTTGATTCCTTTTTTTGCGAAGTGACCGCTTCGATTATTCGACATAGCATGCTGCTCCATGAGAAAGAGCTTGGTTTTCTCATCATGCAGGACCTATCAGTCCTGATGCAGCTGAGCGTGAAGAATGGCTTTGCCGCGCCTAAGGCCTATGACTAGTCTTGGAAGTATGGAGAGACGCTAATGATTTACACCCCTTTCGATTGGCCGTTCCGATCTCAAGATCATCGAGGGATAAGTTAGGTCATGGAACTCCTGATCCTGACCGGAGTTTTGGTTGCAGGGATCGGAGTTGGCCTTTCGTTTGCTGGCAGAGAGTCTGCCCCCGTTGTGTGCCACTGTGAGTGTTCGAGCGAGAAGACATCTTCTGCTGCAGGTGGCAGTTCGATCAGGGATATTCTCCTGAGCTGGGCTTTTTGTTGGCACGGCTGTGGTGGCAGGCTGAAGGCAATCCAGTATCCCCGAAGGGTAAGGGCAAGCGAGGGGTCTACGGCACCGGAATTCCTTTGCAAATCACAGGATGAGTGAAGGAGATATATGGTTCATAGACTACGGAGAAGGACCACCTCAAGTATGGCATAGTCGTCTCCTAGCCGCCCACATTGTCAATTCATTGTGGGTGATTATAACACCAGACCATGACATATACGAAGAGCAGCTCGACAATTCGAATCCGGATGTTGTGCAAGTCGTGCAGGGCGGCGGGGGGGCTAGGAGCTGCTGTTCCTGCGGCGGTCAACCCTGCTAACATTTACGGTTTTCGGGCTATGACAGCACAACAGTATCAGCAACTCATGAACACCGCAAAGCAGTATGCAGCAGCATTGCGAGTTCAGATGGGTCTGCCACCCCCAGGCCTCCATCCGCCCCCAGGCGCCGCAGGACCAATTGCTCCGCAGGATCCACTGGTCTGGGTGGCAATGGAGACCGATCATGGGAAGGTTGCAGGAGAGGTCATTTGTGATGTTGGTGTGCCATTGCCTGCGGGTGCAGTCACATTGGGAGGTTCCAAAGCATTGGTCCCGATCAATACAGGTGCTGTGTATGTTAAGCAAGTTCCCAAGAGCAAGATTGGTACAATGGATGTCAAAGACCTCAGGATTCTTCCACTCAGGTTTGATGAACAGGGTCAACGAAGGGAGGAGTTCAGCAAAGCAGTTGCTCGCATGAGCCAAGATGAGATGCCGGGAGGAGGCTTGATGTTAGATGGTCCTCCATCGGCATTGGCAGTCATGAAAGGCATTGTGGCTCGTGGTCTCACTCCAGTGACTGATCATGAGTATTGGGTTCGCACAAATGAGGCATTGAAAGGCGACAGATCTTTGTATGAGATGGAGGTCATTACTCGTGCTTTGGAGGCCTTCGCAACCCAAGACCAGATCAACGTCCCGAACAGTCGTGGATGTGAACTTTTGATGCGTCGCTGGCAGTTGATCCGAGAGGCCCATAGATTGAACCCCAATTCGCCTGACTACTCGGCCAGTGACATTTTCATGGGTTGGGAGTACAGGCGTGGTGCTGGAGTTCATCAGGAGCTTGCCAAGTTTGTTGCCTCCGAGTTGAAGGACATGGCACAGATCTCCGAGGAGGCAAGAAAGGCGAGGGAGGAGGCTGCGCTCAAGAAGAACAAGGGCGGGGGCCGGGGTGCCCCTGCCGAGTCCAAGTAGCCCTCCGCTGCTCAGCTGATCGAGTTGAGGGCGCTATCGATCAGCTTTGTTTTTTCACAGTGCCCAGGTTTTGTTTCATCTTCGGTGACCTCCACATCATGAAGGACGCCACCTTGCATGTTGAGGAGCCTTTGTTGCGACAGCGGGATTTGCTGCCTCTGCCTCACTTCATTCCGGAGGTTGGCCCTGGAGACCATAGTCACCCCCGTAGAGCTGGGTTGTCTGAAGGTGCCTACAGGCGTCAGGTCAGACGTCACGAGAACGTTTGCCGGGCAAATGAGGCGATTAGTGCAATCAACAGCATGGCGGGCTTTTCTATTGCTAAGCAAGGAACTCCGTCAGAAGTGCAGAGCAAAGCAATGGGCAGCATCTTGAAGTCAATATGTGAGGCCCCAAGGCCGAATTCAACAACATCCATGCGTGAGGCCGTTCGTGAGCTTCTGCATTACCGTCCTTCCACAGCATATGTTGAGCAGGAAGAAACGGGGACTACAACCGTTAGGCCGTACCAGAGAGACCTAGTTTCGTTGCCAGAGCCTGGAGCCCTCATTCTGGACGCCATGGACTTGGTTGATGAAGTGGGTCGCGACATCCTTTCGGCCTTCCACGACACAATGTTGCGAGATGTGGAAAAGGATCCGCCTAAGAGGCTACCAGGGGATATAACTCCCTACATGGACGTGAAGCTGAAGGCATCCTCCACTTTGTACGAACAGTTCGCGCTAGATCTTTGGGATAGGAACATGCTGGAGTTTATTGATAGTGCAAAATGTGAGGTCACCCCCTTCTTTGTGATCAAAAAGTCTGGCAAACTCAGGATGGTTTTGGACTGTCGAGTGTCGAACGCTTTCTTTCAAGACCCTCCAGATATTGCCATGCCGGCCGGGTACTCGTTTTCCCAACTTGAAATTCCTGATGGTAAAAACATGTTTATTGCTCAGACTGATGTCAAGGACTATTTTTATTCCATTGGGATGCCTAGAGAGTTGAGGCCCTTTTTTGCCTTGCCAGCAGTGGACCTACGTCGAGTGATTCCTAACCATCCCCTATGTGGACAGAGACATGAGAGTGTTTTGATGCTGCACCCTGCAATGAAGGTGGTGCCCATGGGCTGGAACTGGGCAATGTTCATCGCTCAGCGTGTTCATCAACATCAGAGCATGCTTGCCGCTGGACTTACAATGGACAGGATACTGGTTGATGGTCGCCCCAGTCCTTCGATTGCAGATGATGTTGCCATTATTCCCTATGCCGATAACCTCAACATTGTTGGGTGTGACCAGCACAAGGTTCAGGCAACAAAGCAGATCATTGTTAGGCACATGGAATCACTTGGCTTCAGGATCCATGAAGAACAAGAAGCGTTGGACCAGGCTGAATCACTGGGTTTCTTCATTGATGGTCGGGTTGGGAGAGTTTATCCAAAGCCAAACAAACTACAGAAGGTTCGCAAGGTTTTGAATTGGTTGGCCCAGCGTCCTCGCGTCTCAGGCAAGATGTTGGAGCGCATCATTGGACACTGCATTCATTTTTGCATGTTGAGAAGGGAGCTTTTGTCGGTGTTTCGTGCAGTTTATGATTTCAAGATCATTGCATATAACAACAGGCAGAGACTATGGAAGACAGCAGCATTGGAATGTAAGTGCATGGCCTCGCTACTTGATCTCTGTTTTGCGGATCTCAGACGTCCGTGGTGTCAGGAGGTGACAGCAAGCGATGCAAGCCTCACTGGAACCGCGGTGTGTTCAACTCATTGGGGTCCTGCGGACACACATCAGGTGGGGAGACAGAGGGAGTTATGGAGATACAGGGCGATTGGCGGTGCTGGGAGAGCCAGGGACCATGTTCAAGCTTTGGACCCTTTCACTGACCATGAAACGGTGTTACCTGTTAGCCCAATACCTTCAACTTCCCAACCTCTGGACAGCTTTCAGTTGAATCTGGACTTCAAAGAGGTTCCCTCCACTTTGCTGCGAGTTGAGGACTGGACAATAGACTTCTCAGCCCGAATGACCATGCCAGAACATATCACGTTGCTTGAAGGTCGAGGGGTGGTACAGGCCCTCCGGCACAAAGCCCGGGGGTCGGGCAACTTTGGACAGCGACACATCCACTTGAATGATAACCTTGGAATGACACTTGCTTTTGATAGAGGTAGGGCTAAAAACAAGGCTTTGCTTTTTCAATGTCGTCGAAGTGCAGCTCTTGCCATTGCCACACACTGTGAGTTTCATTTTAGGTGGATTCCATCAGAGTTGAATGTTGCAGATAAACCATCCCGTATTTTTGAGCCGCCTCGCCATGCCTCCAAACGGAGCACGCAAAGGGCCATACAAGAGGCCATCGACCCAGGCTCAAAGATCAAGACCGACAAGACCAGGAACCAAACAGGACTCCGTGGTCAATCGTTTGAAGAAAGCTGTGCATCCATATGTGGGGTTGTCCAAAATCCCCACTCCGGCAGAAGTTCGGCGGAGAATTGCAGATCGAACGGAAGAGGGTCGCAGTGCAAAACGTCAGAAACTGGTAGAAGAGCAGTCAAGGCCTCGGCTTCCAGGACAGACCTTTCTGGAGCAGTCAGCAATTTCTCCCAAGACAGCCGCAGACTATCAGATGAGGGTTGCGGTGTTTCGAAAGTTTTGCCAGTTACACAGCATTTCAACAACCGGAACAAAGAACCTGGATGCTTGTTTGACAACCTTCTTTCAGCAGTGTTTCAACGATGGCATGGAATTTGCAGAGGGTTCAAAGTTTTTGGCAGCAGTCATAGACAGTTGGCCCGAAGCAGTTGCAAGGGACAAACTACCGAGGGCTCGCAGGTCGTTGAAAGGCTGGAAGAACCTCGATCCGGGAAGAAGTCGTCCGCCAATTCCCTTTCCACTGGTGGCGCTGATAGCAATGAACATGCTAGAGGCCGGAAGTGTGGCCAGTGCAATGTTGGTGCTGACCATGTTTGTGGCCTATTCAAGGCCAACAGAGACCCTTCGGCTACAAAGGAAGGATCTTGTTTTGTCAACATCGTTGGGTGCGACGTGCATGCTCGTCCTCAACAGAGACGAGGACTTCGAGACTTCCAAGATGGGGGTGGCAGACGAGAACCTCAGCATAGACTCCAAGGCAGTACCGTGGCTAGCGAAAGCACTGGCCATGTTGAGCAAAAACCTCCTTCCAACACAAAAGCTGTTTCAAGTCGAGTACAACAGTTTTCTGGAAGATTGGAAGCAAGCCCTTCAGAAGTGCAACCTGCCGAGAGGACACTCCACTCCTTACCAGCTGCGCCACGCCGGCGTCAGTTGGGACCGCTTCAAAGGCTACAGAACACAGCTGGAGGCAAAGATGAGAGGTCGTTGGCAGTCAGACAGTTCGATGAGCCGATACGAGAAGAAAGCATTGGTTTCAACCGCCTTCGACTCACTCCCTCAGCAGGTTCAAAAGCTCTGCAATGCAGCGGTGCAGACGCTGCCCAGCAGGGCCCTCAGCATTCTGGGCCGATAAAAGGTTGCCATGGGTATGCTCTTGAGTTGTTTGCTGTTTCAGCCCGACTTTCCAAAGCATTGTCTAAGTTGAACTGGCACGTTGAGGCTTGGGATATCAACTTTTCTTCAGCATGTGATTTGAGCAAGGTAAGCATTGTCAACAATTTGATCGATCGAATCAAGTCGGGAGCAATTCATTTTGTGCATTTTGGTTTACCTTGCAACACATGGTCACGTGCCCGTCGAAACGATGGTCGAGGCCCAGGCCCTTTACGTGATGATGCAGCTTTTCTTATGGGTTTCCCACACTTGTCAGCTGTGGACCTCCATAAGGTCAAACTTGGAAACGTTTTGCTGCTCCACACCGTCCGGCTGATCCGGGCTTGTCAACAGGCCCAAGTTTGTTGGACGCTGGAAAACCCTAAAACTAGCAGAGTTTGGTTGACAAGACAGCTACGACGCTTGAAAAACTGCCACTTTACGCATGTGGATTTTTGTCAATACAATTTGCCGTGGCGCAAGTCAACCCGTTTCCTTTGTTGTGACCAGCTGAACTTTACACTTCGATGTTGTTCAGGACCTCGAGGTATTTGTTCTCGCACTCGGGCTCCACACCTGGTCCTAGCGGGCACCCACAATGGACAGTTTTTGACAAAACTTGCAGAGCCATACCCATGGGCAATGGTACGTACAATTGCAACAGCAATTCACAAGCAGACTCGCAAGAGTTCGGGGTGAGAGTTGATGACGGTGGCACTTGACTACTTCGTTGCATGTGGCCGGTGTCCTTTTTCGTTCGTGGCAAGCGCCACCCGTCCTGACCTCGCTCTTAGCAAAAAGAGCGTTTCTGCTGGCTGAGTTGGGGAACAGGATCATATATATATAGCCTAGATAAGTTTGATTGTCGCCGGCATTTGCCGGCTGTCTTCCTTGAATTATATTGCACGCAATACGAACAACCCAGAGACTTGTCAAGAGAAAGCAGGAACTCCACGACCACACTCGAGGTCGCATGGATGAAGAGTGTTGGCCGTGGCATCACCGGCAGTTGCACTTTCAATGTGCCAACCCCTTTGGAATCGCACAGTCCCCATCCAATTTTAATTGTGATGGCGACCATGGTTGCATTTGCGACTTGGCTGCACTGTAGGTGTTGCATCAAACACGGGAGTGTTTTTTTTCGCGGTTTGTGGGATCGTTCTGGGGCGACTTTAAAAGGAAGATGCTCCCGGCTGTTTCTGGGACGCCTTGCAAGCTCAACCCCAAAAACATGCGATTTCTATCACCAAATGACCTGCAAATGAGCCACGTCAAAAACCTCCATGAAGAGTTTTTGTAATATAATGCAGTTGTCCTGACATAACCCCCGCGAAAGGTAAAACCTAAGTCGCGAAAGCTTCGAGAAAGCTGTTGCGAAAGACACCATGAAAAAATGGTTGCGAAAGGAGTATGCGAAAGGACGTTTTGGATGATATGTAGGATTTGTTTCCAGTGCTAGCTGTTTTTCTTTACGCTGCTTTGATGCAACTTCGCCATTGCCACCATGAGAGCTTTGCGTATACACAAGGACGTTTCTAGCCCCAAACTGAACGGTTTTTTTCTGTATTGCACCAGTGCCCATGGTGGGCGAGTCAGATAGCAAGCAAGGAATTCTCACAATAAAATACAATAAACAGAAACCTAGAAACCGTGTTTTGACCACGGGTTTCTCGAAGTCGAAGGTTTTCGACACGGCTCAAATGGGAAGAGCTCCCCCAAACCACGGACCTCGATGAACCTTGCATTACGCCGCCACCCAACGCACGGATCCTTGGAAACAGCAGCCACCACGGCAGCCACTATGCTACAGCTCCCGACAATACGACAACGGCACCAGGCACGACTACAAAGAAGCCGTACAACTACAGGTGGGGAATGTATGTTTTGTCGTTTCTGGTGCGTTGTGCGCTGCGCAGGCCTTTCTGCATTTTTCACCATCACAAGACGAATGTCTTCTTTTTCTTTTGTGTTGTAATTCGCTGATTTGGGGCAACAACATGCAACAACCTTTGTCAAGTGATTATCATTGGACACTACAGGTGCCCGTGGTTGAAGGTACGATGTACTCAATGCCAATATGCATATACCTGGATCTTCACACGTTTACAAACGCCGTTTGGACGCCTAAAGAGTCCGTTAGGACGCCAAAAGACACGGTTTGATTTTGTGTGTGTTTCCAGTTTCCGCCTCGTCACAACAAAAAACACCCTCATGCAAAAAAAGACAGCGTGTTCTGGAAAAAGTGATTATGATTTATGCCGTTTCGAAGATCCACGTATGGGTAAGTCATGGGTTTGTGATCGACACCCAAAAGTATTGACATATCTGGTTCGGAAGTGCTAGCTTGGCCTTTTTTTTTTGGCCATGGAAACCGCATTTCTGGCCATACCGTATAGCATCCAAAGTATGCCCAACTGAGTATGGGTGCATTTGTCCAAGTGGGCGTGTATTTAAGTAGGGAGACCTCTCAAAAAGCCCTGGAAAACAACAATAGATCAGGCTGTCTCCCCATTAAAACACAGCCAAGTAGTGTTGGATACTCCAGGCTGCAGGTTGATCTTTGAGTTCATCTTCACCGCATGCGCCCGCTCCGCCAGGAAAAACACCACCGCATGCCAGCCGTCATCGACGTCCACGGGCGGCCGAACTATAAGCACTCGATCTTCGGAGGACTCCAAGGATTCTCATGATTTGCGCATGAAATTCCAACAGAGGTTAAGTGACCTTATAGGACCCTACCAGGTTACGCTATGGGATAGTCTATGGTTGATGCACTGGGGGGGGGCCACTTGACGGAGGCGACGTACTGTCCAGAGGAGCGGGCTCCTTCCGTCGTCTTCGGCTCGTCCCGTGTGGGTCCGTGTCTTCAGCGCTGCGGGTCCAGCGCTGTTCCGTTTGATCTTTGCGCGCTTTTTCAAGTGGCCGCCTCACTTTCTAGTATCTTTAGTCGTTGTCAAGATGATTCAAGATGCGGACTTTCTTGAAAACTCTATATTCGGCCTCCAGTCTTGATTTGCGCATGTAATCCTGAACCTGTTGTTTGACGCTTTGGTACATTTCCAAAGGCAGAGGCTGTTTGGCCTGATTCCAGATTGGATTGGCTGCCATGACATGCTGTTTCCGGGCTTCCTCAAACGCCCAAGATATGGGTGCATATGTTGTTATGATGATATGAGAAAGGGCTGAGGTTCCTTTTCATTAGAAGTTTCGCAATCCGTGCACGCGATATTTGTATTGACCGTATAAACAAATATGAACAAACCACCCATCCAAGCATCTTGTATACAGGTAAATATTCCAGTCCCATGGATTGTTTCTAGATAGCTGGCTTCGCCTGGCAGGAGACATCATGACTTGGAGGCCGCAACTGCTCATAAGTGCTCCTGGGATGGATGTATGAGGGATGAAAGAGATGAAAGAAAGGCCATGTGGGAATTCTGGTCGCAAAGGGGGTAGATTCATAATTTGAAGTACATTGTTCAAGCTCGCATTTGTGTGGGTTGATTGAGTCATTGAGAAAAGGATGTTTTCGTTGTGTTTCTCCAAGGAGTATGGCCGGTAGCACCTTTGAGCTGCTTCGGATTTCAAATTCCCCTCTGTTTGTGTGCGTGTGCGCATCGAGATATCAGGATATCTCACATGCTGCCTCAAGCTTTTGAGTGGACAAGCAGCCCTCCTGCACCGCGTTTGACAGGTTCCAAAGGGGATAACCGCTTCTGGACAGCCCAATCTCCAAAATCGTCATTTTCCAGAGTCAATGCTAGTGTGCAGGAGGACACGTCAAATCCTATGCTCCGTGTTTCTGTCGTTGCGGCCAATGGGCAGCTCTTGAGTTTACATTTTTAAGTGAGCCACATACTTGGGCATCCAACACTATGGGCAATGCCTGTGAATTTTTAGTCAATTGAAATGAAGATTTCTCCGTCTCCCATTTCCCCAGCGGTGGGTGGCAAAGAACAACAGCAATTTCTGCTGGTCCCGTAGGCCCTCTGTTGGCGCGCATGCATTGAATGTTCTCACTTATTGTCCGTTTGTTGTGTGTTTTGGCAGCTTTGTAGGAGCGAAAGGGCTACAGTCGAAACAGCATGGTACATTTACAAAGCTGACGTGCGGCGGCCCAAGAGACACACAATCAGGTTCCGTTGTTTCCATCAAAACTCCACTTGGAAGTGCTGGAAACGACGGAATGCGACGCGTCCTTGTTGTCCAATCAAAGGGTTCGGGGACGGAATGCTGGGTGGGCAGTGTGGCCCATTACCTTTTTACTTAGCGGCCGCTTGTCGGAAATTTGGGCAGTTTGCCAGCTTGTGGCAAACAAGTGACGCTCGTAGCAAATGTGTGGATGAAAAGGACTCCTGCGCTGCAGACTTGTGGCTGACTTGCTCAAGTCGACGAAGTCGAAGCATTCTGATTCGCCTCGGATCAGGTGCATGGAACCATTTTGTCAAACTGATGGCGCGTCAAAGACAGGTTTCTTTCAAACCATTGTAACGATGTGGATGACCTGCAAAACCATTTTTTTGGGCGGCATGACCCCACTCAACAAGGAACAGATTGACAAAAAGGGTTAACCTTGCTTGATATTCCAGGAATTGAACTGGCTCGGGAGTTTGAGCAATGCCAATTCGCTGAGTGTTTTCAATAGGCTTGCTAGTCCGGGATCATTGGGAAGTTTTTTGAACACATTCAACCGATTTTATCCCGATTTGATGTTTCCCACTCCTTGGCATCATCTTTGTTTTTAGCATTCAACCTAACATGTTCAACCTATATATTCTTGCCCACTCCATTCTTGGCACCCCTACTACATGACCTGGTTGCCACCCCTTCAGCTCAGCGGCCCTTCCGAGGTTGTGACTGCGGGGTGTGGGATTTTCAAGTGAAGCCGGAGAACTACAGCACCTGGGCCGCATCGAGAAAAAACAGAGAAACATAGTATTCCCAGACACTCCATGGGACTGCCATAGATGCCAATCAATT